GTATTTATTACTTTATTTCGAATTGGGAAAGAAAGATATTGGCTTGGCTTACTAATTCTCTTTTTTTATTTATATGTTTGACTACAAATTGACGATATATTTCATGCACGATTAAGAATAAGCTCTACCTGCATCGTAACTTTCCGGTGTCATACTTGATTTATCCAATCATATTAGACCACCCGATCCCAGTCCATCACGTGCCCCGCTCGATCAATAATTGCAATTAATTGACTCTCCATGGCTGCGCCACTAATCAATTAATTGAGGTCAAATAATTGCAATTAATTTTACCCACAATCAATTATTCGGTAGGCCTGGTACGTATGTACCTTTTTGATGTAGATCTACTACTATGGTAATTAGGGTTAAGTGGTGGTGTGTGTATCAATAACGTAGCCATCTCTGATGTGGTTTTCATGATTTTTGACTAATTTGATTAAGTTATTGATTTTGGCATGATTGGTATATATTTTCAGACGTAATACATCAGGATTAGAACCATATAGCTAAAATCGGAATAATGTCATGAAATATCTAGTTGACTAGTTTATAAAGCTATCTGGATAATATCAGACAATATAAATTAAGACAAATCAAGATGATATTTGAGTTTTTTCCTATAGAACAAATCGGCATGTAGATTATAAATGCATAAATATGATTAGTGATATAATCTTTTTTTGCACCTCAAAAGGAATATAGGTTATGTAACTTCGAGGACATAGTCTTGGCCTGAAAAAGAAGAGATCAGATGCGGTTATAGTATCCAGACCTGTGCAATACATTTTTGATATATAAAATGCGTAATAAATTAATCTATTTTAATATAACTAGTGCAAATAACAATATTAATATCAATAGATAAAGATTAATGCATATAATATGTATTTTGCTAACTACTAAATGTCAATATTATATGACTATATTAAATCGAAATTTAATCACTACATATACTCTGATTTTTTGAATTTAAATTAGGGTTTTTTAGAGTTTGCATTTTTTAAATTTTAAAAGCAAATAACTTTTAATGTAAAGGTTTTTAAAAAAAAATAATTTTATTATTACCACATTCACCTCTTTAATACGATTCTAACAAGCCCAAAATCATCCAAATCCAATCACAGGATCAAGAGATAAAGCTTGGTCAAATAAGTACACATTTCATGTGTCAGACAATTGGTTAGACCTAGTCTAACCAATTGTCTGATATATGAAATGTGTACTTATTTGACCAAGCTTTATCTCTTGATCCTGTGATTGGATTTGGATGATTTTGGGCTTGTTAGAATCGTATTAAAGAGGTGAATATATTTTAAATTGCATGGATCTGGATACTAGATATGGTATATAAAAATTTATTATTGAATTTTGGTATAGCCAGCTTACAAACTAATAAATACATGCAAAAAATAAGTTGTCACATTTAAAACATATAGATAAATATGCAATATATGTATGTAGTAAATTGATATTTATTACTAATAAACCCAAACTCAAAATTGATCAAAAATTTCAATATGCAAATAAATGATTAGCGAAACTATATTTAGGGGTTAGAGCCTTATAGCTTAGTGGTTTAAGCGCCTACCTCCCACAGCCAAGATCTTTGGTTCAAGTTCTACTAGAAGTGGTTTCTAGAATATTTAAATACAAAACCCTGTAAAAGTTCAAGTGAAGTATGAATTTGGTTAGGAATTTTTGAAAAGAGATCTATTATAGAGAAGAAGAACACTATGTGTGATAGCGATATCACAGAAGATTTGATAACAGAAAGGTTGCATGAGTAAATCTTGCAAGTAGCAAGGTAGCACCAACAACTCTAAGGTGGTCTTGAGATCTTGATTTGAAAAGATAATATAACTGTTATACAAACTGAAGTAGTGAGAAAAATAGTAAACATAAAGAGATCTGTAGTAAAAAATTAGCCTAACCAAATAAAGAACACCTCTGGCAATCTATATTAATATAAAGTGGTTAGTATAGAGAGGTGCTACAGAATATCTATGTATATGTAAAAGACTCACATATCACCAGTATAAATTGCATTCAATTGAAAATCTCTAATAAAACACAAGATCAATATGGATACACCAATTCTAAAAACACCAACCAATACAACTGTAAGTTGGAAGTAATATTGTTATGTAAGACTCAATTGGAAGTAGCTCTACTGGTTAGAATTACGCTTATATCTAGATCTATATCAATTTGGAAAGTATATAAATGGATATACTGTACATATACTCAAATGATAAGTCCACTACTGAAAGGGTATGAAGATCGGCTGGATGATTAGAGAGTGATCTGAGGATTCACCTGATTAGGATCCTATGTATAGATAGGTGTGTACACCAAATTGGGAGTATTTAGATATGATAACAGAAAAATCTCACCAATCTGGTAGTTTACTGTATATAGTATATAGGGAATATATTAAATATAATATAATAGTATAAAAAATCCTGATATATACTAAAAATAGGGTTAGATAGATCAGGTAGGAATATACATTTGTGAATAAAATAATCCTAAGCTAAAGTCTTACTAGTTGTACTATAGTTACCACATAATTTGTAATTATAATATACATAATAAAGATGTAGGTAAAAGATGCCACCCTTAAAAAAAAAAAAAAAAAAAAAAAAAACAAAACTATATTTATTATCATTTTTGAAAATAATTAGAGTAATTCAATCTTATTTTTATTATCATGACCTTATTAGAGATGTAACATGAACTTTAGCCATATAATTAATGAAATGATAATACTTATATATTCATACATATTATCAACCTACTACTTAACCCAAAGTTACTAATGTTTTAACTCTATGATATTCAGATAACATAAAATATAAACATTAGTACAAGCTTTTTGTTATTATAATAACATGTCAAATGATATGCATAGAATTATTCAAGTTAAATCTTACATGTAACGTCTCAATCCAGCATTTAGAACTTACATATGGTTAATATAACTAGTATTATCAATAAATGAACGGCGTTCTTGGGGTTAATGATTATTTTTGATTATTTTTGCACAGTGAATATAGAAGCTAGAAATGGGTTTTACAATGATTTTTTGTTAGTGAAACATTACATTTCCAAAAAGTACTTTAAACTATATAAATAAGTTATTCGGCCAATTGATTTACATCAACTAATCATACGAATGTCTCCCATGAACCCACGGGTTGACCGTGGGTTGGCTACCCGGGTTAGGTGACCCGGGTCACAACACTATTTACGTACGTACGTACGCTTGCTAAGTAGTGATGCGGTAGAATCGTCCCAATGAATTTTTTGAAATACAGCAAGTTATGGTTACGGTTATGGCAAAATCCGTATGAACCAATGTGCGTAATAATAATTAGTCACATAACTTTAATCATTGACATGATTTTTATTTTATTACTTTCCCGAAAGGTTTAAAATGTAAAGAGAGACAGAGAAAATGGGATAAAAACAATTAGTGGCATGAGTCCCTAATGTCGTCATATGAATCGTTGAATAAGTACTATTTATTCTCCCATTTTACTAATTGACGACCGGAGGCTATTCCCTGCTGAGTTTAAAATTGAGTTTTGCAAACATAACACAAAATCCCATAAAAAACAATTAGTAAAACAGGAATAAATAGTACTTATAACTCAGTTATCATACGATACATCCCAATGCCTTGAGTTTCTACAGCATCTCTATTTCCAAAGGAATGAGACCGGACAAACCCCTGAAAAATTTGATCTGCGATATATATTATAACGTTAATACGTAATTGAACTTTGATCGCGCATTATATCATTAATCAAAGTTTTGTAGGTCTTGAAAGCCCGAAGTCTTGGTAGCATTCATTTTGATCATCTACTAGGAAACTTGCTGTTTGGCACTTGCTTTCTAATAGTGCTTTTCCTAACAAATGACCCATTTATGTTTTATTCGGATGTGCTCTTTAGCACAACTTGAATTATTCTACATAATTTACAATATATATATTTTTTTTCTAGTCAGTAATTATCGGTGAACAAGGATGATCAAAAATTGCAAAAATAAATAATGCTCCAAAATCGGTAAATTTGATATTACGACTAACTTTAACGTTAGTGTGTTAGATATATTGAGATTATCAATATATATATCCTCTTTTTTTTTTTGTTTTTTTAATAAAATACCTTTCGAAATGAATTCATTTAAATTTAACGAGAATCAAATTAAAGTTATTAAAGCACTTAGTGGAACTTTAATAGCAGAATTGGATGATTTAGAGACAGAAGCTCTTCTAAAAACAAAAGCTACTGTAATAAAAAAACATCCCTCTAAAGTTATCGAATTTTCTAAATTTGATTTATCTGACAACAAAAAATTTATAGAAATTTTTACCGATAAACTTGTAGAATGTTTACCAGAAGATAAATTAGTTAAAATTAATTTGGTTCTTAATCTTTTTACGAACAGTTCAACTTCCTTATTATTAACAGGTTACTTTAAACCATTTTATGAACTTGATAGAAAACAACGTGAAGCTGTTTTACAAAAATGGTCTAAAAGCTTTAAGTTTTATAGAAATTTATTTGCAATTTTATCTATTTTGATCAATGTTATTTATTGGACAAATTTTGATAATTATTTTGAAACTATCGGATACCCTGGTCCTGATCCTGAAGCTAATGGTGAAAAATTTACTTCGAAAATCAATTTATTTCCTACTTACGAGTTTATTCATGTTCCACCTGAAGGATTAGTGTTACATTTTGATGTAGTGGTTGTTGGTTCTGGTGCTGGAGGTGGTGTAGTTTCTGCTCTACTAGCAAAAGCTGGCTATAGCGTCCTTGTTGTTGAAAAAGGAAACCATTATCATCAAAATGATTTATCTTTGAAACAAGCTGAATCTTTTAATAATTTATATGAAAATGGTGGTTTGTTATTTAACGAGGATAATAGCTTGGGCATTCATTCGTATGTAATTATATTTAACAAACATTAACAAACTCTAGACTTATATATATATGTATATATACACTGTATATATGGTTGTATACATCGTTGTATATATCGTTGATCTTTATTTAATTCTGATTAATAGGGGTTCAACATTTGGTGGTGGTACTACTATCAATTATTGTGCTAGTTTAAAGGTTTGACCTTTATTGTATATATTAAATACATTCATTTTATATATATTTCATTTTTAATTTAATTTTATAAATCTATACTTTTAGCCACAACACTTTTTAAGAGAGGAGTGGGCTGCACAAGGATTAACTTATTTCCTCAGTGATGATTTTAATAAATCAATTGAGGCTGTCGAAAAACGAATGGGTGTTTCTTCTGATGCTATTATTCACAATGAAAGTAATAAAATTCTTATAGAAGGTTGTAAAAGACTCGGTTATCATTACAAAGATGTACCTCAAAATACTGCTGGGTCTCATCATCAATGTGGTTGGTGCACATTCGGTTGTAAATATGGTGAAAAGCAAGGAAGTTTGATGACATGGTTAAAAGATGCTAGAGACGCTGGTGCTAAATTTGTTGTTGATTGTTATGTTGAAAACATTTTGATCGAAAATAGAAAGGCTGTAGGTATAAGGGCTATTGTTAATGGGAATCGGGCATTAGTAGTACATTCGAAAAAAGTTATTGTTTCTTGTGGTGCAATTAATAGTCCTGTTTTGTTGAAGAGAAGTGGGCTCAGGAATACAAATATTGGCAAAAATTTGTATCTTCATCCGCTTACTATGGTGTCTGGTTTTTTTTCAGATAGAGAAGTTATTCCTTATTCAGGATCTATTATGACTTCGGTAAATTAACATAATTCATATCTTTTATCTTAATACATGTATATGATATATACAATATGTAACAATTAGACCAAATAATCATAGGTATCTGAAGTTGTTGAAAATATAGACGGTGACTATTATGGATCAAAAATTGAAATTGCTACATTTCATCCTCTTTATCTGGTTGCATTCTTACCCTGGAAATCTGCACTTCATCATAAACAACGAATGCTTCAAATAAATCATCTTGTCCCAATGTTAATCATTAGTCGTGACAAAGATCCTGGTAGGATTGCCATAGATTCATGTGGGAGACCTAGAATTCATTATTCAATTAGTAATCATGATTCAAAGAGTGTTATCGAAGGAATGATTGCTGGAATTAATATTCTTGTGGCTGCAGGTGCAAAAACAGTTATGACAGGACAATCAGCTATTGAAGAATTTGAACCTGCTGAAAAAGATCCATTTAATGATCCAAGATATAAACAATATATTGAGAATATAAGAAAGATTGGTGTAGAAGATAGTGCATCAAGTATTGGAAGTGCACATCAAATGGGAACATGGTATAAATTTTTTATTTTACATAATGCATATTATTTACAGCTTTTACAACTTTTACAAATTTTTTAAAAATTCTTTTTCATTTATACTATAAATTATAGCAAAATGGGTATTAATCCAAAGACATCGGTTGTTAATCCCAAAGGTAAAGTATGGGAAGTAGATAACCTTTATGTTGCTGATGCAAGTGTATTACCAACTTCTACTGGCGTCAATCCTATGGTAAGATACTCGCTTATTTGAACCTTTTATGACATAAGTTTTAAATTTTTACAATGTTTTTAGATTACCATCTGCAGTGTTGCACATTCGATTGCAAATTTCATTATTAAGGACGATATGCCTAAGTCAAAAATTTAAGAAAAATATTTTTTGAGCTTTGGATAAATTACTTGTATTAATAAAATGGTAATATTTCATTAACCGATTTTATTGATTTAGATACTTATATTTATATTTGTTATATCATCTATTCTTTCTTTATAATCTAAATAATACAGTAATATTTATTGAGATTACAGGTTATAACTTTAGCATAATTCTGTACCTCGGAAAATTTAACGAGAACTCTAAAAAAGTGCAAATATACTTTATCGAAAAAAAAATTAAAAACTCTAATCCTGAATATTATAACTTTCGAGATTATCAAAAATCACCAAACTTAAATTTGATAATTTGCTTGTCAATTCTTGCGTGTTAATTAGTTTACTTGTGTACATGTGTGAAGAATGTTCTGGTTTAATCGATTTTGGATTGATCTTATCAGCTTCCAAAAATTGACGTTTGATTTCATTATCATCATCTTGTTCCATCTCATCAATCCAATGAACAATTTTTGAATTAATGATGGTAGCTGTTGGTCGCTTCTTTGAATCTGAATCCATGCATCTTCTAGCCAATTTGGTAAAACATTCTGGTATTTCTTCATCAAATCCTGGTCGTTCTCCTTGACAAATTTTTAATAAAAGATCAGAATCAAAAGATATACCATCAAATGCCCTTTTTCCAGTAACTATCTCTGTCATAATGATGCCAAGGCTATATATATCAGATGCTTGTGTGAAAGGTTTTCCTTGTAAAACCTCCGGAGCAACGTATGGCATTACTCCACAAATTTGGTTCTCTTGTTTTATATCAGCTGATGCTGAGAGTCCTAAATCGCAATATATGCACTACACAAATCATCTTGTAAAATATTTTTGCTATGAAGATCCCGATGAAGTAACTCTTCTGAGTGAATAGCTTCAAGGTCAGATACGATACAATTTAATAAATTTAACTTATCTTTCCATTTCATTTGTGATACTGCAACAATATTTTGATGTAGAGATCCAATTTCTGCGTACTTTAAAATAATTATATAGTCTTTTGTCTTCTCATCTCGTGATATTCCATAGCATTGTAAGAAAGAAGGATTATTGAATCCTATTTCACTGTATGCTTTTAACTATAACAAAGTAGAATAAATAAATAAATATACTGGATCGGGCTTTTAAATTTGACTTACTGGACTCAACCTATCGGATTTTGTTTTAAGATTGAGCTCAGTAAGTTAATGTGTAAATTTAAAAATTCAAAGTGAAGCTTTCTCCTGGCTGCACTTATAAATACCTCATTTATAAATTCTTGAATTTGAACATTCGAATTATGAATTATTTTTAACGCAACAGAAATTAAATTGGAATCATAAATAGTTATTCTTGACCATTTAGCATAATACACGGTAGCAAATCCACCTTTTCCAATTTCTTCAACAATTTTAAGTTCCGAAAAAGGAATCCAAGATAA